ATAATATTAATATTGAGTTTGATATGATGAGTCCTGAACTCAAGAAATTGGCTGATGCAGTTGCTCCACTTCGTTTTGCAGAAGTCAGATGTGATGTTAATGCTCCATGGTATGATGGTGAATGTAAATCTTTCAAAAGACTTTGTCGAAAGAAAGAAAGGAATTACAGAAAATATCAGACAGAGAAATGTAAAAATGAGTGGATAGCAGCTCTGAAAAATAAATCTAGGCTTTTTTTACAAAAAAGAAATAGTTATTGGAAAAGACTTGTTGCAGACAATAGTGGATCTCCTAAAAATCTATGGAATGTTATTAATAAAGTCCTTTGTAATCAGGTCACTGGTCAGTCATTGAGTGAAATTGTTGGTTTAGATTCGTCTCAATTCTTAAAGTTTTTTAATGATAAAGTAAATAAAATTAAACAGTCTACCAATGTGTCTAATTGTCCGACTATTTGTCAAGCTCAGTACAATGGGAATTGTTCTTTCCTGACTTTATGCTTTTAACAGAATCTGACGTTAGAAAAATTGTACTCAGTTTGCCATCAAAAACATGTATGATAGATGTCTTTCCGACCCATATTTTAAAGAAATATATTGATTTATTCATCGTTTTCTTACCAGTATCTTAAATCTGAGTTTGAGCAGTGGCACATTTCCTAATGGTTGTAAGCATGCTATGGTTTATCCAGTTTTAAAGAAAGTGAATATGGATCGAAATGATTTGTCTAGTTATAGACCAAATGCCAACATCTGTTTCATTTCCAAGATATTTGAACGAGTAGTTGCCAAACAGCTCTTGAATCATTTGAATGTAAACAACCTGCTACCAGTTCACCAATCTGGATATCGCCGCTATCATTCAACAGAAACTGCACTGTTTTATGTGTTTTCTGAGTTGTTTGCTACTTTGGACAAACAACATGTGGCTCTAGCCACGTTTTTAGATATGAGTGCGGCATTTGATTGTGTAGACCATCAGATTCTCTTGGAAAAATTGGCTCATGATTATGGTATTTCCGGTACTGTTATCAAGTGGTTCAGATCATATCTGTTTGACAGAAAGCAACAGGTAGTTTTCAATAATGTGTTATCAAATGAAACGGTTTTGACATCAGGAGTGCCACAAGGTTCAGTGCTTGGGCCTATTCTTTTTATCATGTATACCGTTGAAGTTTTTAAAGTAATTAGTAATTTCGGTTTTAAATATCATGCCTATGCTGATGATATTTAGATTATAGTTAGTAATAAGCCAGAATTACTGCAATCTGAAATCAACAAACTTGTAACCTGCCTAAATAACACTGAAAATTGGGTGTCAAACAATGGTTTTAGATTAAATCAGCAGAAATCAAAATTTGTTCCAATAGGTACATGGCAGTAGCTGATGTAACTTAATATCGACTCAGTGAAAAAGAGTCATCTCTATCATATAAAGATGATAACAAATTCATGCTCCGGACAGATTCGAGAACTCTATAAACTCCGTAAGTCATTAGATAAATCTGCTATTCATACCTTGGTGCATGCATTGGTTCATTCACGATTGGACTATTGCAATGGTCTGTTTTACGATTTGCCAGATAGGTTTATTTCTACAATTCAGAAAATTCAGAATAGAGCTCTATTCAGAATAGAGCAGCCAAATTGATTGTTGGAGGTTTCAAATTTAACCATGTTATGCCAATTCTTAAGGGCCTTCATTGGCTTACTATAAAGAAAAGAATTAAATATAAATATGTATTTTAATGTATAAAACTGTGCATGGCTTGTTACCAAGTTATTTGATAAATAAAATAAAAGAAAAATCTATAATGATGAGTGATATGAACCTTAGATCAGATGATGGCATTTTGCTGGTTGTACCCGATGTCAATCTGCAGAGAGCATCAAGAGATTTTGCAGTATCTGGACCAATGGTTTGGAACAGCTTACCGAGATCTTTTAGAACTAAAGATTTGAAACTTGATGATTTTAAAAAGAAACTTAAAACTTACTTATTTTCGCTTTGATTTTGTTGTTAAGTGAATAATTATTTGTTTGTTACTACCGCCATTGACTGTACTTTTTTCTTTTTTGACTTTGTTTGATTATAGATAGCGCTTTTGAGAACTTTTTGATTTTAATTAGCGCTTATAAATGTTTCATTAATAATATATATATATATATATATATATATATATATATATATATATATATATATATATTTGTGTGTGTGTGTGTGTGTGTTTGTTGATGTATGAATGTTTATGTATGAGCAGGTGAGTATGTGTAGGAGTGTGTGCTTATAGTAGTAATGAAATGCGTGGATGTACGTGTGCCTGCATAACTAGAAATTTATTTGCCAGTCACGACGATTTTATTCAAGTTCATGATCATGATGTGGGTGATGAGGTGGGTGGGTGAGTTGGCTGAGTGGGCCGTGCAAACCAGGTTGATAAGACATCATCATCATCACATGCTAATGGTGGCACACACACACACACCCACATACCACACACTCACTCACACACACACACACACACACACACATACATACAGTTTAAAGTCTGGTTGACGCAGTTTGTGATTCCAAGACTACTATGGCCAGACATGTGACCTGACATGGTGGTAGCATCTGAGAATACGAATTCAGAAATCGTTAGTAAACTAACTGTGTCGTGCAAAGATAACATACTCTGTAGCCACGATGTAAAAACTGCAAAGTATGAACAGCTGATTCAAGGTTTAAACCGGAAAGGATACAAAACCAGGTTCTACGCTGTTGAGGCTGGTGCAAGAGGAACAGTGGGAGCGTCGATGTGTGCACTTTTCAAAGAGTTGAGACTGTCAGGCAGAAAGCGTAGAACATGCTTGAGTAAAGTTATTAGTAGCGCAGATTGTATTGATTGTGGCTAAATAGAAATAAAAAGGACTTTCTGCTGAATTAGCAAACCATGGCTACAGTGATACGACTTCGAATGGAAATGTAAAGCTGTAGTTTGTTATAAATACATAAATGGCAGATTAACACCACTGAGAAATCAACAGTCTTCGAGAAGCGTTCGAGTGATCAACGAACGTGGCCCGGTCCGCCGTAAATGTAAGGAGGTTGGAAAGGGTAGAAACATTTGTCGGCGGGGATTTCTCTTCTGAGGACTTCTCGATGATTTGGCTCAACGGAGTTCTCACATACATACATACATGTATACCTACATACGTACACACACATTTTGTTTTAACGGCAAAAGTACCTGTTTGTTTTTGAATGAAAAATTGGGGTTGTAAACAAAAAATAGTTGCCATTTTTCATTTTGAGGGACCTCAGTTTTTGGCGGTCAACCCGCCGACGATTTAGTGCATTTCATGCAATCATGATGTCTTTATATCATGGTATATGTACTGTGCATATATCTGTATGTATATATGTATAGTATATATCTGTACGTGTGTGTGTGTGTGTGTGTGTGTGTGTGCATGATAAATTGTTAAACTTCATATAAATAGACTTTGTCGTTTATTTGAACGTGACAAATCGACTCCATCCTCAAGTTACAACTCCGTGTTTGGCATCGTTTATATTTGGTTATGTTAGGAGTTAACTTGATAGAGAAAAAAATGTTGGGAACAATTTTAAAAAGTCAAAACAGGTGGGTTTGCATGAGGTTTGGCCAAATTTTCAAAAATGTTTCTATTTTCGATAGCAAACCATTTTAAAGAAAAGAAAAAAAGAAAGAAAAAAATTGTTGCCGTTGTTAATTCATTGCATTTTGAGTGTAAAAACAATTGTGTTAACGCACACACACAGACAAACAAACATACACACACACGCACGCACACACACACAGACGAATCAACACGCACACCAGCAGGCACACACGCACGCACACAGAGCAGCAGACACGCACGTGTGCAGTGCACGAACACAATATAAACACATACCCATCGTTGATAATTATTGTTCAAAGTGTCAATAATGGTGCACCAGTTTTGGTATAAGAAGTTCAAATGCTCCAGAACCTAATTACGAATATAATTGGTGGATCAATCATTTTAACGCTAGTCTGCAAATGTTTTAAATATGACAATTAGAAAAGAATTAACTAGAACCTGCATTATACAAAGAACGGGCACGGTACAATTATTATTTAAATTGACTATTCATTCATCAAAGTGTTAAACATCTCTGTTTCACGTATTTACCTTTTATAAGACAGTATCCGACGTTACTGTTATTGAATGTTTATTTGTAAAGCACCTCTCATTCTCATCCTAAAAACACTCCACACATGCAGGCAGAGTGAGTTGCAGATCATTCAGCTACATGCATCCAACCACCGGAACATCCCTTCCACCAGCCACCTGAGGGCCATCTAGAAGATCCACCTCAAACCTGGTGTTATGGGGATGGAGCATTTATAGAACCTGCTTAATCAGGTACCTTGATTGCTAGTCCATTCAACATGCTGTAAATTTACTCTCGGACGGAGACTAGTCCAAGCGTAAGGTGGTCGAATTTCAAATCGTCAACCTCGAGTTTAACTGTTCTTTTGTATATGGGACGCTCTTTAGAAATCAAATTTTTGTGTATTTCATAAAAAAGCTGTCAAAATAATCAATCAGCGAATGAATGCAGGCATACAGCAAACCCTGTGACGTGCATTCATTCAGCAAACTATTCATTTCCCTCACCTAGCAAAACTGCCGACGACAGACACTATTTATAGTTGCATGCAACACAGGTAGGTCCATCGTCCTTGAACTATCTCAAGTGACCTTGAAATTACGCGTTGACTGAAACAATTCAGTGTGGCTTATGGACAGTTGCGACTCTAATTGTGTCGTAATGTCAATTATTTATTCGCTACCACGTGCCGATGTTGTGGGGAGGCAGCTGACCGCGTGCAATCATTCGGTCATCATCAACCAATTTGCGTTTGTGATGCTTCCATTCAAAAAAAGGACCCAAACTATAAACTCAAAAAAACAAGGAGATTATTTGATTATAAAAGATATTTCATTTCAAATCTTCACAAATGAACCAACACGTCATCAAAAATGACTCTTTGTATGTTTTCCATGCAAATTAATGCAGAACACAAGCGAATAAAATGAATTGGAAATTGAAACTAGTAATTTTATAAATCAGCTATAATTTGATAAATTTATTTTTAATGAATTTGTATGTTTATGAAAATATTGAGGACAAATTCAGCAAGCCGTTAGTCTGTCATTAAATAATTAATTGCTCAATGAATTATTTTCTACAAAGATTGTTGTTATCCAACATCTAACTATTGCTTTTTCAATACTGTTCCTTTGTGTTGTTTTTTTTTCAACTTCTACATCTTTTTTTCTCTTATCTTTCTACCTATACCCACACACACACACACACACACACACACACCCAAACAAACAAACACACACACATACACACACACACAGGAATGGTTTATTTGGGATATTTAGTTGATCAGTGTTTACATTTGACAGGCTCTGTCAACTTAGCACCTACTTGAAATGTTTTATAAACATTATTACAATTATTATCGTTATAATAATAATTATAGTAATAATAATAACTAAAAATAATTTTTTTGATGATAATAATAATTATTAATTATATTGTTATGTTATATAAATAATAACAATAACTATTATTAATTAACATATTATTGTTATAATAATAATAATAATAATTATTATTATTATTATTTAAAGTAAAAATGTAATTTAAAAATTAATACAGTACAACACATATTTGTTATCTTCTGAGTGTCATTGTTGATGAAGTCATCACGAACATGGTAAACCAAAATCATCATATTCTAACTCCTCTCCTCCTCATCATCATCCCCATCATCATTATCATCAACATCATCACAACTATCATCATCATCGTCATCAACATCGTCAACAGTCACCTTAGTGGTTGGTTGCCGTGATGAAAGTGACTTTGTAGTGTCTTAATTATATTTGTCTTTTTGATGCCGATTCATTCACTTATTCATTCATTCATTCGTTCTTTTGTTTGTTCGTTCGTTTGTTCCTTCATTCGCTCGTTCGTTCATTCGTTCATTCATTTTTTATCTACATTTTTCGATTAAAAATAATAACAATCATAAAACTCGCAACAACATTAAATAAAATTTCGATTTTAAGTTGTAGGCCATCGATGATTTTAATTCAATTTTAATTTCAAAAAGCTTCAATAAAATTTCGTTTCGTTTCGATTCGTTAGGTTTCGTTTCGTTTCGGTAACAGCAGCAACAAACAGAACAGAATAGTGTTGAGAAACTATTATGACCGAGAACATTATACTAATAATTATGAAATAATTAAGGTAATAAATAAAATAAGAATAATAATATTATTAATATTATAGTTAATTGTTTTTATTGAATGTTGGACTTAATTATTCTCATGTTAATTATAACATCTTCACTATAACACACACCCACACACACACACACACACACACACACGCGCGCGCGCACACACACACACACGCACGCAAACACACACGCATAACTGTATTAATAATTATTATTGATCTTGTAATTACGGAGGGAATATTACTGATAAGTATTATTGCTAGCCCAAATGAGGTAGCTGGTGAGCGAGTGGGCAATTAGCATCGTTAAAAACCTGAAATAATATGGCCGGCTCTTGCAAGAGAAATAACGAAATCATAATTATTACTATATGAAATTAAAAATATTTTTAAATAATAAAAATAATTATACTAATATCAATAATAATCATAACCACGGTAAACAACAACAGCAATAATAATCATCCCATCATCATAATCATCAATAGCGCTAATTATGTAGCACTCAATTATGGTGTAGCCAGTTAGTTAGTTAGTAGTAATGTAATTAAGTCTGTCAGGTCAGTCAGAAATGTTCCTTCTATATTCATCATTATCATCATCGTCATTTTCACCATCATCATCATCTTCGTTGTCATCATCATCATCACCACCATCATCATAATCATCATCATCAATATGATTGTCATCAATATCACAACCTACCACAGGTAATCCATCAAACAATCGTCAACCAACCAGAGAACAACCATCAACCCGCCATTAACCAACTGTCAACCAACCAAATATCATCCAACCATCAATCAACTATCAACTAACCAGCCAATCAACTAACCATCAACCAGCCATCAACCAACTAACTATCCATCAACCTGCTATCCATTGTCATAATCAACCAGCCAACCAACCAACCAACCGACCGACCGACCGACCGACCGACCGACCAACCAACCAACCAACCGACCGACCGATCGACCAACCAGCCAACCAACATTTATTTATAAATTTATTATAATATTATGTGTAATTCAGTTATAAAATGTTAAAATTCTAAAGATATAAAAGAAATACTTCAAATCAATTCCATTCACTATTTTCCCTCCTGCACTTGGGGTTTTCCAGAATTTAAAAACTTCATCAAAATCAATATCAAATTTTACATATTTGGCCATGTGATAATGAACGTACACAACTGATGGCATTGAAGCATTTGTTGAAATAGCTAGCACTACATCATCAATAATCATTTTTACTTGTTCGCTCTTACTTCGCTGGTGATCAGTTGATTAGTTCACTCCTCATCTGCTTCTCTGCTCCAGATTCCGTAATCATTTTGTTAATGCCTGTTCCAGTTTTATTTCTTTTCAATACTGCAAATGACTCCAAATGAGCCTTATGCCTAATATACCTTTTCAAATCCTCTAATTTCCACACTTCCCATCTGTGGCCACTTGAAAATTCTTTGCATGCTTTGGCTTCAGGACCTATTTTGCAAATCAAACCAACGTCTTCTGAAAACTGGAAAATATTTTCTAACTGCACTTGTTTTAAACCTTTTGAATCAATTGTTTCAGTTTTGACCATTTTTTTTAACCAAGCTTCTTTGAAACCATTTCCAGCCTTGCTGGCTTTTGATGAGCAATCGGCATCTTCTCATTGTCGCATCCCAACGAAAACTTAAATTAGATCGCAAAAACATCTGTTTAATTTTTAATTATTAGAAATTACAATTTGCACTGCGGCTTTCATTTTTGAATAACAATAACCAACATTTTTTTATTCAAATAATTGCTCAAATTTTGCGATAAAACTAGCTGAATATATTTGCTAATAAAAAATAGAAGAGCATTTTTATCATAGTTTTAAAGCAAAATGACATAAAAATGTGTTCAAGATGTAAAAATTGGCATGGCAGTTGGGTTGGTTCAACTCCCACCACATACCCCCATCACTTGGCAGCCACAGCCAACAGTCCCAGGTGGTCACGTGCAATGCTGGAGGGACAAATTAACATTTGACACACCATTTGGCCTCTTAACCTTACATTTTGATGGCACAACATTAACAAAATATTTCATTGCAATCCAGATTAAATTTGAAGAAGTTGAATCAATTTACGTAACTTAAGATGGCATGCATTCAAGCGAGCCAATTACACGTAATAAGAAATCATACCAATTTATTACCAATCAGAGTTTATCACATCAAATATTTAGATTTCAATAAACAGACTTAAGAGACGGTTGTGCAACGACCTGGTTCGAACACAACCAGAGCAGAAACTTGTCTTTTGTACGCTTCATTTTGCCCTCATGCATTTCGTGGAGCATATGTTTCGTGTGTGTGCTCGCCCGTGTGTGCAAGTTTGTGCGTGTGCGTGTATGCGTGTGATGTATGTGTGAATGGTGTATGTGTGAATGGTGTATGTGTGAATGTGTGTGCAGGTTTGTGTGTGTGTGTGTGTGTGTGCACGTACGCGTGTGAGAATAATGGGTTTGTGAAATTTTTATAGTCAACAAATTATTTTTATGTTGATGCTTGGACGATTATTAAAATTGCTTTCATCTAATAAGTGAACGTTCATCATTACCATCATCATGATTATCATCATCATAATCATCGTCACCAACACCATCGTCATCATCATCATCATCACCATCGTCATCATCATCATCATCACCATCGTCATCATCATCATCATCATCATCACCATCGTCATCATCGTCATCATCACTTTATTACACCACTCTCACTACTTTCAGTTTGGCGCCATTTTTTAAAAACTCATCAATAATGATAATAATAATAATAGAAAAAAATGATTCAATTAAATTATTAAAGATAATAGTGGCAGTGATGATGATGATGTTTGTTCTTATAAATCGAACAAACGAGATGAACATTGTTGTTGTTAATTATTATTGCACATCTTTCAATGAACAATCATCTTCATCGTTTTGTTGTTTTTCTTGTTGTTCTTCTTGTTGTTCACTTTGTTTTTCGTTGTTTTTTATTCTCTTTCAACGATTCAACAAGACAAACAACATAAAAACACTAATTAAAATGATAATAGCAATACAAATATTTATAAGACCAAGAATAATAACATAATTTTTATTATTAGCGTTAGAAAATTATTATTGTTATTAATATTATTATTGCTCCTTTTGTAATTGTAACAGCAAACACGTAGAGCCAATTAAGCATCTGTTTAATATCAGTGAATTGCTGGCATCCATTGAACCAACTTCATGACAGCCAATCAGCCAGTCAGCCAGCCAGCCAGCCAGCCAGCCAGCCAGTCAGCCAGTCAGCCAGCCAGCCAGCCAACCTCTATTCATTAAACATCTACAATAAAATATTTGTGCTAACTTAAAAACGACAAGTGTCTCAGTTTGAGTTTCGTTTCAATGCAGACAGATCGGCAAACCATTCAGCAAACAATCCAGCAAACAATTCAAAAAACATTCATTCAATGCCATTGAAACATCATTGTTGGTCGCAGCAGCAACTCATTAGTTGCTTTTTGCTACCTGTACTGTATTGTTATATTTAATGAACATCACAGATGATGAAAAAATAGTTGAGACTGCAACATATGACAACAGCAGCAGCAAGTAAGCAACAACAACAACAACAACAACAACAACATCAACAAAAACATCAACAACAACGTTATGTGGTCGGTGGTACAAGCATTAATGATAAAAAAAAAATGTAATTTGTTTTCTATTGTGCAGTTCTGACAGAGGCAAATTTGCGACTTCCACACGCACATTTCCACCTCGTACGCACCCACAGCATCACTTGCATCACACGTTCCCGTTGCATGATTGTCTGAGCTTCGAACCGCACACGAGACATGGCACTCCAACCGAGTGAACTAACTCGACACGACGTCTGCTCTCTCTGGTTTAAAACCCGCTGAATGTGCCGCGGCCAACAGGGCAATCAGCTTTCTCTTTAAGTTAATGAAAATTAAATTAAGTCAACCGCGATTTGCAGAGGAACAATGAAGTATCAATATGATTCCTGGGTGCATTCTTTAACTTCATCATACATCAACAACGTTGGGAGATTTATTCAACCATTTTGAAATGACATTGCAGTTTGAACAACCTTTTGAGAAGTTTGAACAAAAATTCAGAAACCAGTGAACCTGGTAAGAAATGTTTTGAGCACCAAATTTGCTTGGCATCCATTTAAAAAATTGTTGTTGGATTGCAGAGGTTAAATTAGTGAATTATTAAATTAGTTGAACAAGTGGATGGATTAATCTAAAAGCCAATAGTTTTCACGTTAGCTGTTACTTAAATCGGATACACTCTACCACTCAATCATACAACCAGCAAAAGATAGAGATTAAGAAATAATTAAAAATGTTATCATCATCATCATCATCATCATTATATTATTAATATCAGACGACGATGACCTATGGACAACAAAAAATATGAAAAAATTATTATTATTACCATTATCAATTATTATTATTAGTATCATCATCATTAACTATTAATATTATTATTATCATCTCGCTTATAATCATTCTTCTTTTTCTTCTTCTTCTTCTTCTTCTTATTATTATTATCATCATCATCATCATCACATTCTTTTTTTCTTCTTCTTCTTCACCACCACCACCACCATCATCATCATCATCACATTCTTTTTTTCTTCTTCTTCTTCACCACCACCACCACCATCATCATCATCATCATCTTCTTCTTCTTCTTTTTCTTCTTCTTATTATTATTATCATCATCATCACTCTTTTTATCATTCTTTTTCTTCTTCATCATCATTATCATCATCATCATCATCATCATCTTCTTCTTATTATTATTATTAATATTATTACGTAATTCTGCACAAGGTGCCCTCTGTTAATTCAATCTTACGACGAAACAACAGGAGTTGATTAATTGATAAATTTTTATTTGTTATTTATACATTTAATTATCCAATTAATTATTAATTAATTAATTAATGATTTATTTTTTTTAATTATTCAATTTTTATTTGAATATTATTTTGTTTTATAGACAACTAAATGAAACAAGTGAGCAGAACTTGATGCAAAGAGTAAAATTCTCAAAAATAAAACAATTAATAAGACTGATTAAAAGACTAAATATAAATTATGTTAAATTAAATTAAATTAAATTAAAATAATTGAGGCACACTTTATAGCACAATAGTGGGAGCTGAAAGCCGTAAAATAAAATTAAAAATTTGTCTTTTGAGCCTGATTAACAGTACAACCTGACATTTTGATATATTTTACCAATTAATTACGATAATTGTAAAGATAATTTATCGAAAAACTGGCAAATAATATTTATAATGATGATAATAATTAGTCAATCATAATTATGAACAAAATTATGATGAATATAATTGGTGGAGATAATTGGCCGATGAACCTAATTACCTTAATGAGTTTATTAAATACTTCTCCGTTAGATTAATTAAACATCGTTATTATGGCTAGCTTTATAATGAAAAATTATTATGTTGGAAAGTTATTTTGGTATTGCTTTAACATTTCTTCATCCCCATGCATCCATTTATCCATCCATTTATCCATCCATTTATCCATCCATTTATCCATCCATCCATCCATCCATTTATCCATCCATTTATCCATCCATTTATCCATCCATTTATCCATCCATTTATCCATCCATCCATCCATCCATCCATCCATCCATCCATCCATCCATCCATCCATCCATCCATCCATCCATCCATCCATCCATCCATCCATCCATCCATCCATCCATCCATCCATCCATCCATCCATCCATCCATCCATCCATCCATCCATCCATCCATTCATTCATTCATTCATTCATTCACTTCATCCACAACACACACCTCAGAGATACACATACACGATGGGACACAACAATTTAAACAAGTATAAAAATGTGTTATTACGTATGCACACAAACAAATCCCTACCAACCATCTTCCACACACACTTACACACAAACACACACCAACAACCCACAAACACACTAACACTCTCATATAAACACATACACGTATACACACATACACACAAACAATCTCACATGAGCACAAAAACTTGCACACATTTACACACCCAAGCACACACATTCACACACATACAACATAAACAACCATACACACACACACACCCACACCCACACACACACACACACACACACACACACACACTCATCCAACTAAATTACATCCTACGCACACGCAGATAGTATTGTCCGATGAACAATTTCATTGGCAGAGTAGTAATTAAAGTTAGAAATGGTGATGATGACAATGATGATGATGATGATGTTGATGATGATGATGCTGAAAAATGATGATGATAGTAATGATGAAATGATGGTAATGATGATAATAAGAGGAGAAAGTGGTGAAGAAGAAGATGATGATGGTAATGATAATGATGATGATGACGTTGTAAAGTTATTAGCTGATAAGATCAGTTAAGATCAGTTAAACTGAGCCTATTTCCAGCATCATAATAATAAATAAAAACATTAATAATAATAACAATAGCAATGGTAATAATAATAATAATAATAATAACAATAATAATAATAGCAATTATAACAATAATAATAAAAATAAAAATAAATTATAACTTCATTATAGGATTAACTATAATTATAGGATATATTTGTTGGCATAGTAAGAATTCAGAGCTAATGTAATAAATGATTAAAAGGATGAAATGTTGAAATAATAAAATTTTCAATGTGTATAAACCACCATGCTCATTTCAGGGGGAAAGTACCGTGCGGTGAAGAATTGATACATTCAAATTTATGCCACAAATTCTTCCTGTCAAAATGCATGACGTATAAGAGCCTCACAACAACTAGCCCCTGTCAACTCGTCACTAAAAGAAAGCAGCCAAGAAATTTTTAACAATGAAAAATTAAAGTTATTATAAAAACCAATTGGCGATATTTCGAAAATTATTGAGCAGTGTTTGTAATTGCCATTAAAATAGCTATGCGAAATTGCGGAATATTTATTTATCTTGTGCCGTCGGGATGATTCCAGGTTGGATTCATGACACACCGTTAGCTCCGGAATCTCGACTGTGTCACCCTGCAGTATGGCTATGT